GACAGCAGTGACATCACAGCCTCACTCAGGGGCAGCCCTGAAGGACGGTGCTAAGGGCATGTCCTCCCGACAAACAGAGCTCCCAGAGTGTCTATGATCTGTGTGAGAAGTGGCCCACGGCAAGAACACGAATGGACTTAACGGGCAGTGGTAGGTGATCCAGGTGACTGGCTAAGGGCCTGAAGGAACAACCGAAGTGGGCATAGGAGGTCTGTGCACACGGGTAGCTGTACTGGAATAGGCACCGAGTGGGATGATCTTTGTTTGAAACATCAGTGTCCATCAGACAACATCTGTGAAAGATTAAGCAACAGACAGAATGGCCTGGCCAGGTGACCCGGGACAGCACCTCTCCGCAGCACCCCTAGAGTGGGCATGGTGAGCACAAGGACACAGCGGCCGAGGCGATGGGGCTGCAGGCCACGTGTGGGCCCAGCGGCACAGGTCCTCCAACCGAGCCGATCCAGCCACCTGCTGCCCCTGAGGGTCTGACCCGCTAGCAAAAGACCAATGCTGAGCTCCCCAACAGGCTCCTTCCCCCAAGGCCCAGCCAGCTGGAATGCGCCCACCCTCCATTCACTTTCACAGGAATAGATTCATGTTTCAGATGTTTGCAAGGGCCTAAGGAGTGTCTGTCCTGCTGGCACAGCATCCCGTGTGGCACTCTATCAAACAGGAGACTCATTTACAGCGAAGCACATGAGCAGAGTGCCTGACAGCACAAAGCCAGCTGGTGCCACGTGGGAGGCAGTATTCTGTGAAGACAAGACTTTATGCGGCACTGTGTTGCCAACAGGAAGGACACAGTCTGAGCCCCAAGGGGTGGAAACAGGAGCAACTTGCCTTCACTCCCTATGTCCCTGGGGACATGCATGCTTCCTACCTCCCAGGCTTACCCTATGCAGGGTCAGAGGTCCTGGTCCCCAAAAGGACACCCGCCAGGAAATGCACCAGGTGTTCTACAGGATCACGAACTACGGATGACATCTGGGGATGCTGGGGTCCTTGCACGGAGGAGGCAGCAGGTGGGAGTAGGTGGTGGGAAGCGGGACCCAGTGACCCGTGTGGATGCATCTCAGTACCTTTGCTCAGCTGGGATTGAGGAACTAGGGAATCCAAGCTGCACACGCAGTGAAGGGTCTGCCCCTTGGATCCCAGACCCCTGCAGTCTGGCTGTGAGGGACATACCCCGACCTGACCCTGAACATGTGAGACATGCTTTCCCACTGGTGCTGGCAGCTCCGGCTGGTCAAGGCGGCCGCTTCTAGAGATACTTGGTGTCAGTTTGCAGACCAGCACCACACACCGAGGGAGGGAGACACTGCAGAGAAGAAGCAGGTAGATGTCAGGTTTAATAAGCAAGGAAATTAACTTAGGAGGCTAGTCTTGTGTGGATGCAATACCAGATTTCTGCACCCACCCACCAGAATCTTGAAAGTTTATAAAGGGGCCTTACCGGGTTTCAGTCACATATAGTATCCAACGGTCTCAACACCACCTTCTCTCCCAAGGTGTGTCCTTGGCACAGTTCCAGTGTAGGGATAAGAGGAACAGGAGGCAGGAGGAGACTACAGTTGCCCAGGTCCAGCTCCCAGGCTGACAGGACGTCACAACCTCCTGCAACACACGGCCAGACAAGTGAATCCCATTCCTGAACCTGCACTGCTTCCAGATGTGCTGGCTGCTAACGGGGAATGTGAGTGGACCACTGCATGCAAGGAAGCGTGATTCGCACCTGGAAGCTGTGCTCCTGGGAGGACAAATCACTGTCCCCTTTAAAGTGGAGGGAACTGGTCATCACAAGGTCTTAGCACCTCTGCTGTCGGCAACACAGGCTCTCAGGGGCGGCAGAAGCCCTGGGGAAGGAAGTCTCCTTCCTGCAAGTTCACTCAGCAGGCACATGCTGGCAAAGGCTGAGTGCCGCCCACAGACAGGTTGTCCTGTCCACCAGATGCGTCCCACCAGGGCATGGACGTCCTGGCTGGGCAGGAGTCTGTTTAAGTCTCTTCCTTGGTGCCAGTCTCTGCAGGTTACCGACCAGCTGGGCACACGACGTGTACAGATGGCATTCGGGCCAGCACTCTCTCCATATGAGATGTACCACCCAAAGCTCTGCTGGGCAGCAGTGCGGCCCATGGACTTCCGAGGCTGGCACACTGAGCAGACCCAGCTGCAGGGCACACCAGTGCTCTTCCTGTCCTGCCCACTGGTCACACGGAATTCCCAAGGCCATGGGAGTGCACTGAGGAGAAAACTCAGCGCCACCCATCTGACACTCACTTGGGACCCTTCCTTTAGCCCTTGGCATCTGCCCAGGCCGTTCTGTATGTAATTGTCATGGACTGAACGTGTCCCTAGATCCTGTTGTTTAAAGCTCACTCCCCAATATGGTGTTGTTAGAAGGTGGGAGCACTGGGCAGGGACTGGGGGAGATGAGGCCATGGGGGACCCCGAGTTGAGACCAGTGCCCTCAGGAGCTGTGAGCTCGCGTCCCGTCCCTGCCCCCAGCCTGTGAGCACCCAAGGACGAGTCCGCACCTGTGGGGGGATGGGGCCCTCACCAGCAGGCCACCACGCTCTGGGAAACACGTCTGCTGTTTGTAAGCTGCCCAGTGCCTGGCACGTCGCCGTGGGAGCCTCACCTAAGAGCGCTGCCCCCGCTGCGGGAGCCACCATCTAACCAGTCTGACGACCTGTTGTGTAGGCTCCCCTCCCCTGGCAGGCCTTGTACTTCTGGGCTGTGCTGGGATCACTCTTGATGTGGATCCCGAAAACAGCAACTGCCCCCGGGTACAATCAGGACAGGTTATGTTCGGACGGTCACTGTTTCTTCCTCAGTACCAGGTAGACCAATGGTCTGGCTCAGCCGGCAGACAGCACCCACCTTCACTTACCTCAGGGTCCATGGGTGTCCAGACACACTATCGCTCGACCTACTGAAGACATCGTAGCAACTGGTCCTATGAATGGCAAGTTGTAGGTAACACAGGCGCCTGGCGAGATGAGCTGGATGGTGGAAAGCTCCCCCGGACTCCAGGGCCTGCTGCGCTCACGAGTTCCCAGGGCCGGGCCATCTGTGAACGCCACGGTGCCCCTTCTGAGGGGAGACATGACACTGCACACAACTGGGAGAGGCACCAGTGCAGCTTGCTCGAGGTATGGGTGCAGCCACATTTGGGCCACTCCAGGGTGCCTGCTGAGGAAGCCACAGGCTGTCAGCTACATGGAGACCTGGCGGAGAACACCTGTAGCTCTTGGTGCAAGCCGTCCAACTGCTCGGGCCTGAGGCCTGCTTCCCCAACACTCTGAGTCCCTTTGTGACTGGGGAAGCCAGAGGCGCCTGCCTACGTGTGTCAGGGCCAACTCCTGGGTCCTGGGGCAAAGCCTTGCCTTCTCCAGCTGGTGACTCACCCTCCGTTTGAGAAAAGCTGACTGATTCCTGGTCTCGGCCGAGACCACAGGCCTGCCCAGTGACACCAGGCAACAGGCAATCCAGGCCGCCCACTGGGGCCCAGTCATCAGGCCAGGCAGGTATGACCATCACGTGAAGTCCCGCTCAAGGGAGGCCTAATGAAAGGACACACGTTCACTCTTTGCTCTTGGTTCCCAGCTCCTAAAATGCCTGGAATTTCCTGACAGGAGCGTCCTTCTGTTATGGGCCCTTTTCTGACCACACCTGAGTCTTTGCTAGTGAGGTGACTCACAGGAGGGCCCCTAGTCAGCTTCAGGAGGGGCCTGGTTGCCAGAGGGCAGGGCCTGGAGACTGAGTTCGAGCACATGGCAAATGCAACTCCATTACAAAGATTTAGATGAGACTGCTGGATGGTTTGGGGGCCCTCCAGGCTGGTGAGCACATTCATGCCTGGAAGGGAAGCACGACCCCACTAGCCCTGTGACCACAACTCCTACCACCCGAAACCTTTGACTCACTTGTGGAGCCAGAACCCAGCCTGGGGGCCCAGGCATGGCCCTGCAGGGGCTCTGTGGCCCCACGGAGGGCTTCCTCCAACAGGCGTGATGGCCCTGTGGACAAGCTACTGGCACCGTGGCCTGAAACAGCCCTGTGCTGGGCGCGGCAAACAGCCCGACCGCTGAGGGGGAGGCGGGAGGCTGGCCTGCAGTGGGGATGAGAAACCCCATCTGGGGTCCAATGTCCCCCTTCGGTACCCGAGGCCCGACGGTGAGACACAGCAGAAAGAGGTCCTCTACCAGCAGGCTGCGGAGGCCCCTTCTCCCCTAGGAAGGGAGGTCATCAGTTCCCCACCAGCCAGCGGGCTGTGAGGCCCAGGGAACAAGGACCGAGCACAGGCCGGCCCAGCACTGTGCACCCCCCGTGGGCTGTGAGGAGCACCAGGGCGTCTTCTCATAGACACCTGCCCACAACCGGCAGGGCACTGAATGCCATTTCGGTAAATACGGGTGGAGGGTGGGAACGAACGCTCGGTGACCTGGGGCGGGCGTGCAGGTCACCTGCTCTCAGGACTTACACCCTCTGCCTGCTCGACTTCTCGCAGGCACGGCGTGCGCCATGGGCACCAGGCAGTGTGCGTAAGGCACAGCCCCAGCTGCAGGAAGCTGCCCCTGCTGGTGGCACTTTCCTATAGAGAACGTTCCTGCACAGAGCCAGCTGCCCATCCCTCCACAAGGCAGAATGAGCTGCATGCAGCTGAGTCGTTGCAACGGCCACTACCACGGCACCCCAGGTCCTGCCCACCCTGCTAGCTTATGTGGCACAGACGCCCCCCACTCAGCACCAACGGCTGGTGTCGGCCACCCTTCCTCTGGACACTGAAACCAGGGGTGCGTTTCTTGGGTTAGGGCCACGGGGCTGCTTAGGGCTTCAGCTTCAGTGACATGAGGCAGGGTGCAGGGCTGGGGGGAAGGTGGGACAGCTGCGAATGGGTGGCCTCCGTGTCGCCGAGGCTGATGCACAGGGAGCATGGACACGTACCAATGTTATATGGGCTAAGAGAAAGCTCTGCCACAAAAATAAGCAAGCAGTGATTTTAAGAAGTTGTTTCATATTAAAACCTGAGCCCAGCAGAATAAATGTCGGGTTGAAAGGTACTGAAAACACTGGGATACTCTTCAGTGCACCTGTATAGACTGTGGGTAGACGGTGTGTGGCTAGAGGCTGGCATGCAGGTGGGCACAGATGACTGCACAGGGCAGGGGTCACAGCCCCGGGGGCAGCATGGCCAAGGCACCACCTCAGGAATAAAACACAGAGCGGGGCGGGGCAAGATTAAGGAACAGGCAGGTGGCCTTTTGTCCCTCTTGGTGATGAGAGCTTCAAGTGTCATTGAAAAGCCTTCCATCCAGGAGTTGAACGTGAGCTCTGTGTATTTCTGCCACTGACCAAACAATAGACTACAGTAGAAGGGCCACTCACACGGAGCAGCTTTAGCTTTATTCTCTCTCTGTGCTTTTGTTTTAAGCCAGGTTTCCATCTGTGCACTGACGGTCACTCTCCTTCCTGGCTTGGGAGAAGGCAGGCAGGGTGGCCCTGCCAGCATGACCGAGTGGGCCTGTGGCATGTGAAGCACACATCACCTCATGACGGAGAGGGGCAGACGTGCACCGAGGCCACAAAGGAACTACTCCATTTGGCTTTGTGGCAATGCAGAGAGGTGGAACCCTGATGCGCGGCACGCAGGCTGGCACTGTGGGGCGGCTCAGCATGCATGCACAAAACAAGCTCTCCTTGGAAAAAGGGGAAAAACAAGTCTTTTTCTCAAACAGAATTGTCAGAGGTAGGAGCCACAGGATTTTATTTATTGTTTAATCTTCTGGTGGCAGGATTGCTTTGAAGTGAAATCTAAATATAAATAAAAATTAATTGGTTAGAAGGCTTCCCGTGACTTTTAAGAATTTCACAATTTCAAAACACTACCACTGAAATAATCTTATTTTAGGTAAAAATAGGAATTACAATTAAAATACACCGTGGTTTAAATCATGATGGTTAAGAAACACTAGACAAATTATATCCTAGTTGAAACACAATCTTTCTGTTCCCTACGAGTGGGAGACGGAGGCACTGAAGGCCCAGCCTACAATCCAGTCAAACAGACCCAGCACGAGGAAGCACGCTGCTCACACGTCCGAGGAGCCCTCAGGACGGCCTCCTCCTAATACCCCACTGGAGCTCCTTATCGGGTGGGCTCACCATGCTCATGGCGCCCAGGACCGACAGTTGGCAGTCAGGCACACTCCCAGCACACACCTACGTCACTTTAAAGAACAGTCGGAGAAGGACCTTCATTACCTGGCGGGACCACCCCGAGCCTCTGCTGGATCGTCTCTAAGTGTTTGATGTACTCTGTCAAGGAACGTTCCGGATCTTGAGAAGCAGTCAGGGACCTTTCTGATCTTGAATTCAGGGATGGATCAGCTCTTTAGGCAAACAAACAGACCAGGAAAGAAACAAAAGCGAGCTGCTCGTGTGGCGGTGTGTGTGTGGTGAGTGCATAGGCGGGAGACAGCAGAGGGTCCTGTCGCCCACCAGGCCAGGGGACGAGGGGAGCCAGGTGGCCGGCCGCCTCCTCGTGTCCATCCTTTAGCACAGAGGCAAAGTGCTCCATAGGGTCCCAAACACCAGCTTCCGTGGTGTCCCAGGGTGCAAACGAGTGCACATTTATTCATTCCACGTCATCTCACCTTCACCCCACGGGCTCATGCACCGCGCTTCCCAGTGGCCTCTCCCTGATGCCCCAGCCAGCCCTTTGCTTGGGGCAGGCCCACCATCCAGTCCCTGCCCCCAGAGCCAGCACTGGTCACCTCTTCCTCAGGGTGTCCCTACATGACTTTCCCACCCTGTGCCAGCCACAAAGGAGGTCTCGCCCCTCATTTCCTCTGTGAACAGGTATTACCAACCTGGATGCAGGGCACCTTGGCCTCCAGACCGGGACTCTGCCCTTCCTGAACACAACTGGACCTCACAGATTCACTGGTGGGCTCCCTGCCTGGCTCTGGGATTGGGCCAAAACCTTCAGAACACACGCACTATGGTGCATCACCAGCAGAGGAGACTGGAGCCTGTCACAGATGGGCTCCCATCCGTGCTGGGTTGCCTTGCATGGCCGAACAGTGACACGTGCTGTGACATGCAACACAGCACTTCCTAAAGGGCAGGCCGCAGAGGCCTCATCCAGGGGCCCCGGAGAGAAAGGGCACACGCTGTTCGTCCCCACTAGCCGGAGGCTGTGCTGGGGGCTGGCTGCACAGGTGATGGGGGCACAGGTCATACACTGGGAAGGCACGTGTGTGTCTATGGCCATAGACACATGCAGTCTTTCTATACACTTCATGGGTATGTTCCCAACATTGATAAAGCCTTAGTTGAAAGAGTTAAGTGACTCAAACTGGAATTCATCACTCCAGCACCTGCATGGGATCATTCCACCACCCAGGCTGGAGAATTTCCTAATGAGCACCTGCACGAGAAGCACTGGGGTTGGGAGGGCTGTGAACCACGCAAAGAGGATCAAGGCCACCAGACGCGCTCTGAGGCCACACGCCACCTCGGCCCCAACAGGGCCTCAAGGAGACCAGTGCACGTGACCATGGCTCAAACCACCACAGCCACGAGGGGAGCCTTGTTCACTTTCTTTTTAAACAAAATCGTATTCTATAATCAAACTACAAGACCTCTTAATGATCTTTTTAATTGGAAAGGTTTTTCCCCAAATAACTTACTTCACTACGTTTAACATCACTGCTGTGGCACTTCCTCTGTCTGCTGCACGGTCAGCATGAAGAGGCCCAGTGCGTGCAGAATGCCCCAGTCCCACAGAAAGGAGGGGCCGCACGCCACCTGATGCTGTGTGCTCACGGGCGTGCGGTGGGGCTCTCCTGTGACAGGCGGGCCTGGGCACCCACGCAAACCTCCATGCAGAGGGCTACAGCCCAGGCCCTGCTGAGCGCCCAAGCTCCGCGACTCACCTCTCCCTCCTGCGTGGGGAGGCTCTCGGCACAGGGCCCCTGGCGTGGCTGGGGGACACGTCCCGGGTCGGCGGGGATTTGCTGGTCTTGGGTGGAGACAGCTGCCGCTGCGGCATCAGGAACCCTTCCCCCATAATCAGCAGAGGGTTAGGAAAAGAGATGGACGCATTTTATAGGAAGGCCTATCCACTAAAATTTATAAATGTACAGCAACTTCAAAACATTTAAGAAGTGCCCAGGTTATAACTATCACATTTCTAAAAGCTACAGAAGAAGCCTGAGTTTTGACCTCCTATATTTCACCCCTGCAAGACCCCTGGTGTCCGAGTGGGCAGCATCCCTGGAGGGTCGCTCAGGGCCCTGAAGGAGCCAGCAGGGATCAGCTCTGGGGAAGGCGGGCATCAGCTCTGGGGAGGGCGGGCATCAGCTCCAGGGGCCACGAGGGACTCCAGGAGGGGAAAACAGAAGGCCAGCAAGCTGAAAAGCACTTTGATCTCAGGAAGTAACAATTAATGTGTGGCAACCAAAGCCTCCTGGCACCACAGGGACGCCCATCGCAGGGCAGAGCTGGGGGCTGCCTGCAGGGCCTCCACCCCAAGGACTGGGGCTGCATCCTAGGCTGGGGGAAAAGTTCTGTGCACACGTTTACACTCAGGGCAGGGACGCATCTGTGCGGGCAGTCGCTCAGACAGGTGTGACTGAGCCCAGAGCAGCAGCAGTCACACCTGTCTTGACCTGAGAATAAAAAGACCCTTTATAACCCCCACTGCCCCTGCCCCACCCTCTGCACCACTTTACTGCACACCAACAGCACAAACCGTTTGCTCCCAGCCCAAGAACCACATCCCCTGAGCCATCCCGCCAGGCCGGCAGTGGCACTGGCTGGGCCTGGGGCCCTGACCACGCATGGTCGCGTCCCCGGCGAGCCCACACTCAGAAGGGCAGGCCCGAGAGGGACGGGTCCCACCTGGGCGGGAGGCTCGGCTGAGCACGAGAGCACCTTTCCGGTCCACTTCTTGCCATTTCTTAACCAAAAATCGCAACCTACAAGGAAAAGAAGGGGAAAAAACATTGAAACCCAGAGCAGAACGAGTGAAAGAGTGATGGGAAGGCAGATGTGGGTGACTGCGCATGGGCAGAGGCCCAGCTGGGCCCACAGCCCACCACCTGGACGGCTGTGCCCAGGCGCCCCCAGACCCCCAAACCCAACCCCCCCCAGCTCAGGTCAGAGACCCCAGTTCAAAGCCAGGATAAAGACCCCCACCCGCACGCACTTTTTCAGACTGGGACCAGCACGGGGTTCCCCACCCCTCTCCGAGGACAGCCTCTCATGTCCACACTACCCACCTCTGAGCTGGGTGGATCTGATTCTCCAGCTGAGGCCCCTCCCACTGCCCTACAATCACTAGGGTGACTGGAGGCTGGGTGATCTGTTTACGGCCTCTCCCAGCATCTACAATGCTTCCTGGCACAGCACACTCTCTCTGAACCATAGCTCGGAAACACGGATGGACAGAGCAGCAGACACATGGGTGGGTGGATGGTTCATGGCCAAACAAGCCCGAGCAGGGCACTGAGGCTTCAGGACAACAACGCAGTCTCACAGGAGGCCCTCCACAGGTGTCAGCCTTGGCCCGACCCAGCTGCCATGAGGCTGGGCCTGAGAGGAGCAGGACGCCCCCTGCACTTCGTAGCACTGTCCCTGTGCCGGTGGCCACAGGCAGAAATGAGCATGGCCCAGAGGAGGCGTCTCCGTGGGCACCAGAGCAGACACAGCTGCCTGATTCTTAGTGGGGAAAACATTTTAGAAATTCAGCCAATTTTAAAATCGTAAAATAATGGGTCCTCATGACCAGTACTTTTGGAATGGTCAGACCCCCAGTCACACCAGGGAGCTACATCCCTGCCCCCAGAAATGATGCTCAGCACAAAACAGCCGCTGATGGGGTTGGGGGCATTTGTGGCACCTTCTGATGGGGTGATGGGCAGGCCTGGGCCAGATGGACATTCGGGGGCAGGTCAGAATAGAGGTGGGGATGGCGGCTGCCTGGTACCCTGTTGCTAGGCACCCCCCTCCTGAGAGTGGGGCTCCCACCACACCTGCAGGCAGGCAGGAAAGTGCCTGCACCATAAAAGGCCTCTTTTGAGACATAAATTTGACTGGAGTAGAGGAAACTGGAGTCAGAAGAATGAAGTGCAGTTTAAACTTGATCAGATGCGACTACAGTCCCTCAGGAAGAACCTGTGAGGGGACAGGGTGTCGTCGTATGATGAAAAGGCACCCCTAGATGTTTCTGTTTTTGCATGACATGATTTCTTGAAGACAAGGATCATGTGTATTTTCTTTAAGGCCCCACATAACATTCATCTCATAAGAGAATACACTGTGGAGTCTCAAAGAGGAAAGCCACCTCAAACCACCGTGCACCCCGGTTCGCAGGACAGCAGCGCATGCTGAGCATCACCTTAATGTTGCAGTCACCACCCTAACAGCAGTTCGGAACTTCGTAAGGGGCCGAGATGTGGCAGTTTTCTTATCTGCTTTGGAAGGAAATACTCCCAGGTGAGCGATCATTGAGAGTGTTTCTTGTTCAGAGTCCTGGAATCCACCAATCAATAGTAAAAGGTACTTCTTTTGGTAAATCAGAGCTTTTCTAAAGCTCTCTGCTCTCAAATAATGCAGGTACAATTTTTCCATCTAAAAGAAAAAAGAAGTAACACTTAATCATAAAAAAGATATCTTGCTGGCCAATCTCACATACATACATAGTGCACTTACCTCAGCCCTAAGCAGGGCACCCCCACCTCTACTCAGCTTCTCCCAAGGCAGCTGTGCCCAAAGAGGCCCTGGAGAAGGCTCGTGAGTCTGACTGCTAAGCAAGGTAGTAACCAGAGGGGGCTGGGACCTCACCTCGGGGCCCAAAGATCACAGCAGGGGCACTGTGGGGACCCCTGAGCAGCCCACAGCTTGCACCTCGTCGACAAAAATGACGGGCAGTGCATTGCAGGTCTGGGGCTTTGCTCGGCTGCAGAGACTGTCCTGTGAGCACCGCACCCTTCCCTTCAGCCCTTATGAGCACGGAATCATGGCATTTGGGTACAACCAGACCAAAGTCTGCACTCTTAAACTGCCCTTGTTTGTAATGGCGTGACCGCCAGAGCCAGGGTGTCTTCTTACTGTAAACAAGCCCACGCTGGACACACGTGCTGACAGTCATGCCCAGGCCGGAGGCCCATGGCCACGAGGAACCTTCAGCCTGCATCAGTGAGCAAACCCAGATTGGAACGAGCAGTGGGTGTTCAGGGCCAACCACACGGTGGCTACACGGCATTATATACTTGTCCAAACCCACAGAACGCCTGACACCAGGGGCCTGGCTGTGAGCCACGGTGCGGGACAGACGCGGCCACACAGGGTCACCAAGCAGGGGGACATGTGGGAAATCCTGTCCCCTCCCCTTAGTGTTGCTGTGACCACCCTAAAAGTGCTCTGGAGACAATCTTAGAGACAAACGGAGCCCCAGCAAGGCTCCCCTCAGCACAGAGCAGCCCCACACCCAGGTTCACCTTGATACTGCTGGCGCTGGCCTCCTCGCTCGCAGCCGGTGTGGACCGCCCGGGCTCAGGGTGCCAGGGGCTCCGCGGAGCTGTCCTGTCTGGCCTCTGCAACAAACCAGACCCGCGGGGCTGTGATCAGGCCAGAGCCCAGGGAGCCCGTGCTCCTGCCCGGGGATGCCAGATCCACATGTGACATTGTCACCCAGATAATTAACGTTCATGGGCTGATTACTGCACAGAAGGTACATTTTCATTAAAACAGAAAACTAAGTATTTGTGAAACAACCCCAGATTCAAGCCTTTAAGCCTATTAAGTGCCTTCCTTTCCTCGGCTACTAACGGATGGGAGCGAAGAGCTCCGGCCAGCGCGAGCTGGTCGCACAGCCCCAAGTTTCCCCAAGGCCACTTGGGAGCTACACCCACCAAAGACGGGTGCCGTGGGTGGGGACACGGAAGGCCCGCGGTCCCAGAGGGGACAGAGGCGCCACTCCACAGATGCCCGTGATCGCCTGCTGCCAAGGCCGCGGGAGGCCCGAGGTGCTCACGAGGCCCACGTGGTCATAGTGTCTGCTCAGCAGTTTGCCTGCAATTCCAGGGCCAGTGGAAAAGTGGGGGTGCACCTGGGGGCCGAGGTCCCTCACAAGGCAGGGGGAGAAGACCAAGCCCCTCGGGCAGCTTGGTAAGAAGGCCCTGGGGGCAGCAGCTGTCTCTGACGTGGAGGACGGAGTCCTCCCAGCTCTCTGTCAGCTAACCCCAACACGCTCATGAAAGCACTGACTCCCTCCAAACAAAGCAAAAACAAGTGGGACCACGTGTGACTGAAAGGTCCCTGCCCAGAGGGGGAGCCACCACCACCACAGAGGCGGCGGGCTGGGGGGGGGCATTCAGGAACGGCTATGTCCGGAGGGGTCGGCGTCTAAAATACATAAAGAACCCATAAAACTCAGTATCAAAAACAATCTGATGCACAGAGCACCTCAAGAGATATTTCTCCAAAGAAGACAGATGACCAATGGCATGTGAAGAGATGCTCCACACGGCTGATCACCTGGGAGATGCAGACCCAGGCCACATGGAGGGATCCCCCCAGCGGTCGGAACAGCTGTCAGCAACATGACTAGAGAGGAGGGCTGGTGAGGAAAGGAGAAAAGGGGGCCCCGGGCCCTGCTGCTGGGATTCCAACTGGGGCAGCTACTGTGGAAAGCACATGGAAGAGGTTCCTCAAAAAAATTAAAAACAGAAATGTCATACAATCCAGTAATTACACTTCTGGGTAGTTATTTGAAGAAAATGGAGACACTAATTCAAAAAGATATCTGCACCCCTATATTCACTGCAGCATTGTTAACAACAGCCAAGATGTGGAAACAAACCCAATGCCCATTAACAGATGACAGGATAAAAAAGAGGCGTTTTATACACACACACACACACACACACA